ACTCACCAGAGACAGTGGGGAGCAGAACAGCTAGTACTAAAAATACACTGCTGAGGGGAGCAGTAGGTGAAACAGGAGAGGTCTGCTGTACCATGTGGGTCAGGGGGTTATACATATGCTGCAGTGGCTTGATAGTGGTGAGACTTTAACCCCTGCACCATCAGGGAGGACCAATTTTTTAAGGTCTTGATTCTGGTTTGCGTAGAGTACGCCTGCATATAAAGTGAGAAAGTCTTTGCAAAGTCCACGGGAATCAATCTCTTCTTGGTCTTTGTTCCCTCGGCTCTTTGTGAGTCAGGCCTTTGTTGTGACATACCTGTTATATAGTGAATCAATTAGAACAGTATTGACACCTGTGTAAGCAGTTACCTTTTTTGGTCTTTTGCATTTTAGTTTGAGTTGCTAGTATAGATTTTCTTTGACTTTTGATGGGTTTTAGCCCTGTAAGCCTGTCATAAGTTGAAGATGTTGTATATTGAAAATTTACCTAATTAATCCACCTAATCTACCACACACCACAATTTAGCCTCGCTTACCTTAAGTGCATTCAGAACGACTCATCATTATAAGGTTAAGAAATCAGAAGTCAGTGACTATATCTAAGAAATCAAATAAGGGGCCCCTTTAGGTTGATTAAATTAAGATGGAATTCTCATTTGTTCTTGTCTACTTAAGGTTCCACTTAAAAACATTGTTGATACAACACAGATTCTAAACATAGCTTTGTTTCTGGCTAAAAAGGTGCCCACTGTTTCTTTCTGGTTAGCCTGACTGCCGGGGAAAGGATTTGGGTAATGCTGGTGCACAAACCTTGTTCTTTTGCTCCTGTGGGATCGTTGTGTCTTGCTTTGCTCCACTGCAGGCTGGGGGCGGGTAGCTGGAAACTTTTCTCTCTCCTCATGAACCTTTCCTAAGACTTTCTTTTGCCTCCTGTTGTTTTCAGAACTGCAGCTCTTCGGGAATCTCAACAGGTTGCCCTGGACAGTGAGCTATTGGACACAATGCCCAAACAGTATGTTAACCGTGAAGAACAGATCACTCTACACTTGGAGTGCAGAGGCAGTAGTGGAAAGAAGTGCCAGGGAGCAGCAGTTGTAACAGTTCAGGTAAGGTTGCTTGAATTCCAGTTGAGCCCCTAATCTGGGCCATATTGAGAAAAGTCTGAATGAAGTATATAGCACATCATCCATGTCCCTAAACATGCAGTCCTTTTGGAGAGACATGAGACACTGAGGGAGACACTGCTAATAACATATTTCCATAAGTGCTGATGAGTCCTATAAGACAGATCAACAGGAATTCAAAGAAAAGCAGAATCATTGAGAAGACTCTTAGCGAAAAGGGCTTAAACTAGCAGTTCAATTTAAGTTGCTAGTAAAGATCTTTGACTTTTGATGGGGTTACAGCCCTGTAAACCTGTCTTAAACTAACAAATGTATTTAGTTAGAAGGAACGTGGGAATAGGGTCACCGCATGCCTTCTGGGGGCCAGGGGCTAGATCAGTCTGTTTCAAGTTGTTTTGAGAGTGGTAGTGGGAACTCAACACTGGAAAGGACTGCCACTTCAGAGCTTGGGTTGTTTGCCATGGACACTGGGAACCGCTGATGATAGACTCGGGCAGGATGCATGGAAAGCAGATCACTTGGGGTGAGCTTACCAACGGGCACAAGAAGATCTGTGCAAGAATATGATTAAAAATTTAGCCGTCATTAGAATCACCTTCTTGAGTTGGAAAAAAAGACTAGCTGGGTCTGTGTGACTTCGTACCGACAGGCTTTGGGAGTGGAGTTAGATTTAGCCACATGTCGTAACACTTACTGCAGGTACTGTCTAAACACCGCAGAACTTACTTGTCCTCACTACCATCCCTGTGAGGTGTGTGCATTTAGTATCTTTATTTTCCAGATAAGAAAGGAGTCATGGAGGTTAGATACACCCCCGGGTGCCACAGTGGAGAAACTGCAGTCTCTCTGCAGAGCATGCACCCCCTTATCACTGTGATAAATTTTTTTTTTTTTTTACAAGTGCTTTGAGCACAGCATTACCTACTGACTACAGCTGCATAAAAATAGCTCCTCTTTTTTGTTAGCTTTTGGGAAAAGACTTGGTTGTCCTTCAGAAAATTTACTTCTTCTGTGCTCATCCATACGTTAGCAGTTCATCAATGTCCTTGGGAGACTGTTTTGTCTAAAATGTCTTTTCTGAAATAACCTTTTTTTGGTAATTACATTTTGCATTACCTTCAAATTTTATTTCTGATAACATGCACCTAAAGTTAAAAAATGTGTTCTGGATTGTGAGATTCTAAACATTGGGATAATTTCTTTTGCCATGCCAGATACTGTGTAAAGTTAATTTTTTTTTGGTGTGGTTTTTTGTTTCCCCTGTTGCTAGTGTTTTAATAAAAGTAAGATAAAGAGGTATTTAAAAAGAATCACTTGCCAAAATAATAAAACTGGAAGAAAAGTTTGCCAACTCTGGGTGGAGTTTGCATTGGAGGGTAAATAAGCTGACAATGTGTTTAGTTATAATAATAATAAAAAAAGATGCTTATTACCATTGCTGTCTAACAAATACAGTATTTTTCCACTTTTGAAATTACACGTCTTTGCCAACCTGTTATAGGGTTGGCAAGGGAAAGGAGTTCTCCTAAATGCATTGTTGTAAGTGACGAGTGAGCTTAGTTCAAAGAAATGTTTTCCCAATTCTTGCTTTGTGAATAGCTGTAAATATTTACTGTCCCAGTCAAAGAACAGGTCTCTTCTCCTGACCTCCTGTTAACTGTCAGGGACTTGTGATGGAAAATACCCAATAGATCTAGAAGCTTTAGTTCTAAGTCTGCAGTGGACTTGTCTTTCTCTTTACAGAAAATGGGATCTGACTTGTCTGAACTCTAAATTCTGTGATCTTTTGCTTTGTTAATCTGTTATAAAAAATTACACCTTGTCTAAAATACTGTCTGTTATTTCGACTGAAGGGAGATGTACTAGCTCTGCCTTTTCTGATTTATTCTTTCTCTTTGTTCTCACAGTCACTGCCTTGGAGGCCCGTAGCACTTCTCCGTGAGCCTGTTCGTTAGGCTTCCTATCCATAGGCACTCCTCGCCAGTTCAGCTTCCATCTGTCACCCTTCACTCTTGGAAACACAAATCTGTTCACATTTCCAAGCTAAAAGCTCACATTGACCCAGCAATGTCATTTATAAACTGCTCTGGGTTTTTTTTTAGCAGGGTAATTTGGCCTCTTTCTCATTCCCCATTTGTTTATTTGTTTTCTGGCCATCATGTAGTTAGGTTTTGTCTATTCTCCAGACACCAGACATTCGTACCATTGCTTTTAGGTATCTGCCATGCTTTCTTTTTCCCCACTCACTTCTGAACTCCTCTTACCTTCAATTCTTAGCTCATTGTAGCATCTTTAATCAAGGTCTTCCTTGACCCTTTTAGTCAGATTCGTGATGTTCCCTCTTCACAGTTGTGTGTAAATGCTATTGTAGTCACCCACTGTTTTTTCCTGCCAGACCCAACTCCTTGGGAACAGAGATCCCATCCTCATTCAGCTGTGTGCCTGCACTGCTCAGCATGGCTCAACATGTAAGATCTACGCTGTGAGGCCTCCTTGAGTGAGTCTCTGAAAGCCGCCAGCACATAGCCCATTAGGACAGTTACAGCTGTGTATTTTGATGAGCTGTCACTGTTACTACTAGATTTTGAGTTTTAGGAAGGCTGGAGCTTGTCTTATTCATGTTTGGGTCATCCATCCTCACAGAATGATGTGTTAATGGAATGAGCCAACCGTAGTATATACCAGTCAGGCCTTCTGAGCTTTACCACCTTCAGGAACTTTGTAGCTATTATTTGACTATGGAAGACATCATGGAGTTGGAACCCTTTCCTATTAGAAATTAGCATTTACTTGTTGTGCTTACTTTTGGCCAAATTAAACACTTCAGTGTTTTCCATATAAGGTCTCAATTAAATACAACATGCTGTCCCACATACGTTTGTACTCTAATACAAATGTCTCCTAGGCATTCAGTCTTGGAAAACCAAGTGGGGGTGGTCCTACTCTGGTACCCTACTTTCCCTCCTATTCAGAATTCCTGCCCTGTGCTTGCCCACTTATCTTAGGCCCTTCCATATCCCAGATAGTGTGCTATATCTCACTCAGTCTTCACAGAATTAGGATGAGGGAATGAGTTCAGAGAAGCCCAGAGACTTGCTAAAGTCGCAAAGCTAGTAAGTGGCTCAGTCAGAGCCCTAGCCCACTTCCAGCTAAATTAAGGCCCTTGTTTTCCACATTAGTGGCTAAAAGTGCAATCCCTGAGGAATAGAGGAATGGTTCTGAGTAAGCTGATCAGTGCCAATTAAGTCCCATTAACAGTGGACCACCTTCTCTGAGTTGCTGTGATTAGGACTGCTTTCCTTTTCAGTGATTAGAAAATTCATGGATTGGATCAGTTTTTCTGACTTTGTGAGAAATGGTTTAAATGCAATTTTTAAATGGCTCACTTAGAAAAGTTTCAAATTATATCATATAAACACTGCTTAGTAAAATTTTCATGGGAGGGAAAGCCCTGGAAATTTCCAGCCATCTGCAGCTGTTGGAACTATGTGTAGCTTGTTTGGGGTATACAGAAGTCAAATATATTTTATGGGAAGTGAGACGTGCTTCTTCTGTGATTACCTCTCCTATTAGAAACCTCTAATAATTCAGTGATATTCCCTGAGGAAATGCACTAATTTATAATAGGGTTCCTTTTGTTGTACTTCAGTAGTATAGAGCTTGTTTTCTCGACCCAGGATGATTTATTATCATGAGAAAACTTTGCCCATTCCTCGAAATGAAAGATGGCAAAGACCCACCCAGGGCCTCCCGTTACTGTAAAAGCTGACTGAAGGATGTGATATGTCCAACTTTTAAATTTCTTTGTCTACTAAAGTGACTCAAGTGAAGGGGCTTCCACCGAGCTGCTTTGTTCTATTGTCTGCAACTTCTTGTGATTATGAGCTGGTAGCCATTCAATCTCTCTCACCCCCATCCTTGAAAGAAAACTTATCAACAGTGGTGAGAACACTGAATAAAAATAAGTTGAGTAGGAAAAGATTTTTTTGGGGTGTTTGGTTGGGTTTCTTCTCTTCTTCAGTGTTAGTGGCTTTATGGCACAGGGAGGCAGTTTTCAGTTCCAGTTTCAGGGCAGCTGTAGGCGCCTCCGCTGCGCCTCCCAGCCAGCCGCCCTTGTGCCTATTCTCCCTGTCCCATGTCTGCCTTCTTCCCCATCATTCTCTCTCTCTTGCTTCCTCCTGTCAGATTCTCTCGTTTGCCCTGTTTGGCTGCTTTCTCTTTTGTAATATATTGGGCAAAGCTGACAGCACATGCTCCTCGTCACATTTTGGGCTGTTCAGCCTTGGTTTGTTGTTTGGAAGATTAGAAATGTATTTGTTTTGGTTCATTGTGTGGTTTAATGGAAGTAAATTACTTTTGTAACCTTTCATTTCTCCAATAGTAAAAATGAAAGTGATTGTTAACATGCTTTTTGGATATCCATTTTCATGCCTTTTGATTCATACTGACAGTTTATTTTTCCTTTTTTTAAAGATTATTCGTACAGAACTGGGGTAAAGGTCAGAGATGCGGAGGGTGAGAGGATTCACCAGAGACAGAGTGGGGAGCAGAACAGGCAGATCGATGAAGTACACTGCTAAGGGGAGCAGCGGGCAGGTCAGGAGAGGTCTGCCTCGCCATGTGGATCACCTCTGGGGCAGGCGGGAATCGAACTCACGCAGAAGTGGTTTAAGCTTCTTTGTGCTGTGCTTTAACCCGCTGTGCCACCAGGGAGGGCCTATTTTTCCTTTTAAATAAGAAGTTTTGTGAAGATTTTTAAGATGACACTGGTGAGTTTTCTGGAAGAAAGTTGTCAAGTGCTCTGTGTGTTCCCAGGGTTGCGCTCCTGTGCTGGGTGGCACAGACAGACAGGGTCACATAGTCAGGATCTTTTGATCTGGAATTTATGGTCATCACTCTGACCGAGACATTAGACCTTCATTTAAGTAAGTTTGTGTATTAAGTGATGGTGTTTTTTACAAAGGATGCCTGTAATCATGGAAGACTGGCTCCAGGCAGTGCATAGATAGGAAAATGTAGGCCTTGTTTCTCACCCATGTGTGTGGAAGGCTATTTGAGGAGAAGGTAGAATTTATAGTTTCTGCCTTCTAAGTGTTCTTGCCTCTTACACATTCCCTGCCATGTCTGCGAGGTAAGCCCAGATTGTCTAGCCTGCTATAAAGCCCTTTTCAGAACAGAGCCTTTCCACCCCAAAGTGATTGTACTGCCCTCTTTTCAGCCCAACCCCCCCATTAGCTGGCTGGGTTTGTCCTCATCCCTGCATCTCGATATCCGCCACAGCTCTCAGGTGGATTCTGTCTTTGTTACAGGTTGAGCCTGTCTAACTACACCCAAAAAGAGTATTAAAAATGCAGAAAATAATTACCATCTGTGTCACCCTCAATTAATTAGAGGAAGAGATGTTAACAACCCCCTCAAAAAAAAAAAAGTCTAGTCTTTTAAAATTAAAATAAATTTAGCTAATTTTTTTTCTTAAAACTCAGTCTCTTCTTACTGTTCATATCGAGACTGTTTTTGAGGAGGATAGGGACATTGAAACATAAACGATGTAGCACATTTTCTGCGAGATACTTTGAACCAGTGATGAACTAATCTGGTTTGATTCTTCATGAAAGAGCTGAGATTCTTGAGTAGTTTGTAGACAGTTTTTTCCTGTCCCTCTGAGGTTCAGCCAAAAGCAGATATTTGTAGTATAGTATCTGCTCTAGAAAGATGTGGGGCAAAAAAAAATCTGTTGACCACTTGAATTTTTATTAGTTTGAAGGTATGCATAAGAATGAAGCTATCAGCCAACAACTTCATGTTTTGAGAAAAGAAGTGAAGCAGTTGCAAGCAGAAGCTGCCAAACCGCCATCGCTTAATGTTGTAGAAGCCGCTGTGCATTCAGAAAACTTGATTACGTAAGTTTTGAGGGCATTATAACTTAAAATACTCTTTTGCTTTTATTAAAATACATCTGTGCCTCTACACCATCTCATACCCACTAGTTAAATTAGACTTTGGGCCAGGTCTGGCCTGCCACTTACTTTGGCACATTAAGCTTTATTGGGACACAGTCATGTCCACTTATGTCTACTTCATGTCTGTGAATTTTATACTGCAGTGACAGAACTGAGTTGGGGTGACAATTTACGGTCCACATGATCTAAAATATTTACTATCTTGCTCTTTATTGGATAATTTTGCTTACTTCTGAATTACATTGTCATTCAATAATGGAGAGATTTAGATGCTCCAGTTTTATATCCAGTACCAGTAGCTAGTCCCCTGGTAGGTTGGGGTGGTGGTATGGAGGGGGTCACTGAGTCTTTTTGTGGGTTGGAGGGGGCCTGAGAAGGAGGAGGAGAAGATAAGCAAGAGGTTGGGTTTTTTTTTGTTGTTGTTTTTTAAACTGACTTTCCTCCCCCCCCCCCCCGGAACTTTCAAAAAACTTCCAGAACTAGAAATATACTTACTATAGGACCATGTATTATACAAAACTATTTTTCCTCTACCTAAGTGTTTTGAATTTTATTGTATTTTTAAAAAAGATTTGACAATTTATTTTGAGTATGTCATTCTTTACAAGCTAGGAAACAGACTCAGACTAAAACTGTCTATCTAATCCTCAGCATCAAGATAGCCCAGAACCTATCTTGTGATCTTCAGCAAAATGACGTCATAATACGAGGTGCTAACATCTGGGTTATGAACAACTCTATGTACATTTTTCCTCTAGAAACTGCCAAAAGGTCCAGTCCTTAAAGTCAGGATATACAGAACATATTGATCTACAAATGTCCCAAGTAATATGCTGACCCACCTATGGGTGAGCCAGATCAAGCTGGCCAAAAACTGGTAAATAGAGAAAGTATTTATATTTTGAAAACTTGCTGTGAAGTTTAAAAATTCCTGATTGCTATTAATAAGAAAGCAAGTAATAAAAATTTAACAGATGTACTCACACTGATGCTTGACATTGCCAAGGTCTTCCTCTAGAACATGAAGGTAGAGATCGGTGTAGGAGGTAAGATACTTAGATTTTTTCCCCAAATTATTGAGTAGTAAGGAAGATGACATACTGCGTTCTTCCACTTGCCACAGCAGCAAATTGACAAGGACTATTTTAAAAAGCTGCTGGTGGCAGCTTGGCAGGTCCCCTCCTGTGTCCCCTGCAGTTACTTAACAATGCTACTCTCCGTGATACATACGCTTGTGAAAAACTAGGGAGGAGCTTTTGCCAAGAGCTGGACGTGAAAAATAGAGCATGTCCTAAATTAGCTAATTATAAGCTCAGTTAATATCTTCAGGATGGGCCCATAAAAGCTGCCCATTGTGTAAACATCTGTAAACTGCTAAGTTCCTTAGCCACTAGCCATAGTTTCTGCTCAGTGTCTTCAAGCTGGGCCATTCCCATCGGTGATGCTTCTGCTCAGGGCTGCAGCAGGTGCTCGTCATCCGAGTCTAGAACATTATCGTTGGATAACCTGGTAGCCTTTGGTTGCATAGTAGGTGGTGTGCAGGAGCATCATGTTGCCAGAGATCAGGACAGGACAGACTGGTCACCCCTCCCTGCCACACCAGCAGTGCTCTGGTGCTTGCAGTAGGAGCCCATCACAGCGAGCAAGGCCTCGATCATAAGCAGCACTGTGACAAGTGCACTGGCTTTATATGGGGTTGTAGGGAGGCTCTTCTTAAACTGGATGTCATCCTCTGTGCTGAAGAGCCTTGAGTATTTCCTGTACTTCTGGGGACTCCAGCAGCAGTTGGGATGAGCCAGTATCATGATCCACTGCCAAGGCAACCATCAGCAGCTGTGGCACTCAGGCCTCAGGGCCCAACTCATCTGATTGCCACCCAGCCTGCCCGCACGCTGCCATGGACTGGAGTTGGCATCCCGAGGTTCTGGATTTAAAATTTAGAGAAATTGTAGTCCTTGATTTTAAAGATATGTGTTACATAAGGAAGATACAACATTAAATAGCAAATTTTGAATTACATACAAAATATGAAACATTTTAATAAGGGTAGGAATGTTAGCCTTAGAAAAGACACTTACTACTCAACTAACTTTCCCCCTTGTTAGAAATAAATGACTTCTGTATATTAGAAATATAACTTGTTGAGTCAAGTTGGACGATATTTACCTCATGAGATCTTTCTAAAGTGACATTTCTGTGGGGCTCTGAATACTTTTAAGAATATTGCCTAAAAGATGTAGTGTTTCAAAGAAATGCCTCTTGCTGTAGTTGTGAGTCTGGCCTCTTGCTGTAGATTGGTTGTCTCATATTTTCTCACAGGGCCTTAGTAAATGCCTACAAGTTACAGCCTACCCCTGGGGTTCAGAAGGTTGGCATTAGCCTCTTCTTCACTGTGGTGGATTACGTCAGTGACGAGACTCAGCGTCATCCTCCCACAAGGCAGTTCTTTACTTCATGCATTGAGATCTTGGGACAGGTAAGGTTATTCTGGGTCTTTAACCTTTTCCAGCATATAGTGTGTCCTTATATGATATCATCAAGGTCAACTTCAGACTTATTGTAAGCTAAGTGTCTCACCTAAGTCAGAAGCCCCTTTGGCTGTTTGGCTTCTCAAGATGTGAAAAGAACTGTTGGTCTAGAGTTTTCCTTCTCATACAGGTGACACTAAATTATTCCTGTTTCAGAGTCTCTGGGGAGACATCAAATTCTACAACATGCTATTGGTATTAACAATAACATTGCCAAAGCTTTATGGCATACAGAATGCTCTTGATTAATGTTACTGTGCTATCTGTGTGATTGATATCACTCCCCTCTGAAAGACAAGAAAACTGACCTCTAACAGACCACTTGCCTGAAGAATACAGCTGGTGAGTGCTGGAACTGAGATTGGATCCCAGGTCTTCTGGCTCAGCCCTCAGTGCTCACTTACTTCACCACTGTTGCCTCCAGTTGCTATTCTCAGTTACCATCTATTTATTTATTTATTTGACTTACTGATAACAATGTAGATATTTAACAAAGCAAGAGCAAGGTATCTATGCAGATTGATGAAATGTGTCATAAAATGAAAGACAAGCCTGAAACTCTGTAAACACTATCATATATTCTTACTCACATTCAGTTGAATGAGGACTTATTTATTAGATCCTTAGTTTCCTTAGTATTAGGTACTTTTCCTGATGTATTTAATGGTTTTATAATTAATGACTCACTTTAGACACTTACGTAATCATGATAATACAATGTAAATGTCTGGATTCAAATTATCCCAATATTTAAATTTTGTAATGATTTTTTTAGTATAGTTAACAGAATTTTCTATACATGACTTGTCCAAATCAAATTAATGGATTAGCCAGAATTTTTAACATCACCTGTATTGGAAGTGACTGGTTTGTGATGTTTTTGATTATTTTCGATAATTTCAAATAGGAAAAATTCATATACTACCTTAAATCTATGTACCACCTTATATATTATTCCTTAAAACCTGGTTGCTTAAATGAAGATCAGGAAGGGGAAAATTTGATGACATTTTCCCTTTTTTAATCCTTTCAAGGTGTTTATCAGCGGCACTAAGTCAGAATGTAAAAAAGTGCTTCAGACCATTCTGAAGAATAGAAGACTCTGCTCTCTCTTGTCTCCTTTCTTTACTCCCAATGCATCACCTGCAGAGTTCATACAGCTCTATGAGAAAGTGGTGAAGTTTCTAAGTGAGGACAACAGTGATATGATTTTCATGCTGCTAACTAAGGTGAGATATGATTAAAATCTGATATTATAGTTGAAATGTAGAACTGTTTTTCCCGTTCTGCAGAGATGAAAGGCCTTCTGGAGGTGTGTTTACTGGTAGCCCTTGGCTGGCAGGCCTGCTTCATGGATTGCACAGTCATCCAGGAGCCTGATGCCTTAGCTTCTACATCTGGGGGCGCTGATAATGTAGCATATTCTTAATCTACAGAGTATAAAAAAAACCTCACTCATAAGTCTTTAAAAACTCAGTATGATTTTGAGCTAGTCATGCTAGAAATTTAGTATATACTTTTTTGTTTATTGGCCTCAATTTATGCCTAAATTGTGTTTGATAAATGAGTTGTAATATGTCAAAGTCTCTCGTGTTTAGGATAAGCCATATCTAAGAAAATTATCTTTGTTCTCACTCTTGAGTTGAATATTAACTTGGACCTAAGTAGTTCATTTACTTAACCAGTTGAGAATCTCAAGACCTTAGCTATTTTAACCATCAGTTATATTTCTCTGATAACCTAAGATTCATAAAAACTGGGCATTTTTTAGGGTGTAGAGCCTGCCCTCTGTTTGCAACTGGGAGCACATGTTTGTTTTGTGTTGGCCTCAGCCTACTGATGTTATGACCAGACTATCCCTTAGATTTCTGACAGTTGTAAGATGCTCTTCAGCAAAAACCATCTGGAACAGGGAACATTGAAAAAAATAATAATAAAGTTGTATTACAAGACTAGGGAGCTACACACCACTCCTGGGCTAGTGAGGTCATGGGAAGAGAGAAGGAAGACAGGGACCTGGGGTCCTGCTTTTATCTAGTCTGAGCAGTGGGTGAGGTGAGGCAGCTTCACAGGCTTATTCTTTATTAGTAAACTCAAAACATGAGTGTGGGAGTTTAAAATGAAGAAAGAAGGGAAAAGGAAAGACACAAGTCATCCACAACTGGCCAGTTTTCTAAATTAACAGGACATATACACCAGAAAAGGGGGATGAGGGCAGCCTGGCTCTTACCTAGTTGCGTTCTGGCCGTGTGTCCGATTTAGCCCCTTGGAAGTGGAGACCCCTTTGATATGGATGCCTTGGCATCAAGTTTCGGTCAGGGACTTGTATTACAGAAAAGAGGAAAGCCAAGTCTGGGAGCTTACAATACGATATTTTATAGTTTGGGGTTCCAGAAGGTGACACCAACACCCTGAATTTTTATTAATTGACGTAGATGAAGGGTGCATATGCAGAAAGGGAGCGAGCGCTGTCAAGTGGCTCCTTGTTGGAGGCACTGTGACTGGTGAAGGAGAACCGGGGCTTGTCTTCTGGGGAAATTACCAACAAGATTTTTAAATTGTAAAATATTGGCACACAGTGCTGAGAAAATGCTGCCTCTGCAGTTCTGGAGAGTGAAGAGGGCGGAGGCACCTACATTCTTTATTTTTTTTTTTAAGATTTATTTATTTATTCACATAGAATTGGGGTACAAGCCATAGGTGCACTGGTGGTGAGGCTTCATGAGAGACAGAGTGGGGAACAGAACAGGCAGATCAATGAAGGGAGCAGTGGGCGGGTCAGGAGAGGTCTGCTGCGCCATGTGGGTCACCTCTGGGGCCAGGGATTGGACTCGCACTGAAGCGGCTGCGGCCAGCTTGCGTCCTAACCGATTGCGCCACCAGGGAGGGCTCTAAATCACCTACATTCTTTATGTACTTGTACATCAATTTTATTTTCAATCTGTATAAAAACAAAGTGCTAGGTAATCTTTGACTTTTAAATGAAATGTGCACAGACTTTGTTCTACTTCAGTTAATTTTTCTAGTGTAAGTAAAATGCTTCTTGTTTCTTTTTCTTTTAGTTCGATCTTAAACAATGGTTACACGCCACTAAACCTCCTCTGTCTGATCGTACCAGGCTCCTGGAGTCCATTCATTTGGCACTTACTGCCTGGGGCCTTGAACCAGATGAAGATATTTTGATGCCATTTAATCTCTTCTGTAAGCACTGGACTTTTCTTCTTCTCTACCAGTTCCCTGACCAGTACAGTGACATTCTCAGGCTGCTGATGCAAAGTAAGTGTCTTAATTGTGATTGATTAGACCACAGTGAATATTTCATGTGGCATTTACTATTCTACAGATGTCACCCAAAAATGTGAAAATAATACAAGTGGACAGGAGTTTAGAAACACTAATTTTTACCAAAAGTACTTGATGAACAATGTCAAAAAGTTTGCTCTGTGAAAATGGTGAATTCTTGTCCCAGGTGCTACGAATGGGTGAGGCGGCACCTTGTTTTCGGTGTTGGAGTCCATGTTTTGCACTCATCTCTTTGTCTTGACTTTGTAGTTGTCCTGTTCTGGGGTGGGGTGGTGGTGTCCTGCTTACCCTGCAGGCCACACATTTGGTAAGCAAAGGAAGTTGCTACTTAAGAATATACTTAATAGGCCATTTGGTTGCTCTGTGTTCCAAATAGTCCATACATTTGGGGATCCTTTTCTAATGCCTAATTATTTGACACTCAATTTTTTTATTTTTTGCAAATGGTAGTTTTATCCCAGGATAATGACAGATTTTATTTATGTTTGCCAAGGGGAAGAGCAGCATTAAATTTCCCACATTCCCATGATTTCTGTCAACCACTTGCAGTTTTCCACTGGAACGTTAAAGATTAGAGGATTATGGGTATGTGGGGTTTTTTATTTTTGTAATTTCACTAAGCAAGAAGTTTATCAAATTTGATAAATGAGATTCTATTTACTTTTTTCATGCAAGCTGCATTGCTGTTTAATGATGTAATAGAAAACTGAATTTTACTTTATGCTAAAACTTTGTGTACCTAATAGACATGTAGTGATTTAATGAATAGGTCAGTGATCTTATGCCTGAGGCATACTGAACTACAAGGTTTCTTGCTCAAAACACCTTAAGCTTTTGTTATTTTCTTTAGAGGCAAGTTGCAGAGTGGTGGAGAAAGGCAGTAGGGAAATGTATTTGCATAAATTTTGATGCATAACTAGAGTCTAAATTTTCAAAATCTGATCATGCATAAATTGTTTTTCCTCTGAAGCCTTTTTTTTTTTTAAATCTCTAGTTTTTAAAAAACTTATTTATGTAGACAAGAGCTAGGGTATAGGCTAGCAGTGCAGGGGTGATGGGGTGATAGTGGATTCACCAGAGACAGAGTGGGAAGATAACAGGCAGGTTGACTGAAATACACTGCTGAGGGCAGCATCAGGCAAGTTAGCAGAGGTCTGCTGTCCCATGTGGGTCAGCTCCCTGGCTGGGGATTGAACTTGTGCTGCAGTGACTGTGGAGAGCTTCATAGTGCTGAGATTTAACCCCTTGTGCCATCAGGGAGGCCCCTTCTGAAACCTTTTTTTTTTTTTATTAAAAAGTTTATTTTTACATCATTTGCACATTTTTTTTTCATCTCAATTGTAATCCCCACGGGTTTCCCATCACCAAATCACCCCTGTGCCACCACCATAGTCCCGTGCATTTCCCTCCCT